CTGGGTGAAGACAGGCTTGAAGTGAGGGAGTAGTAGGGTGAAGCGAGGGTCCCTGGGTGAAGACAGGCTTGAAGTGAGGGAGTAGAAGGGTGAAGGGAGGGTCCCTGGGTGAAGAGAGGCTTGAAGTGAGGGAGTAGTAGGGTGAAGGGAGGGTCCCTGGGTGAAGAGAGGCTTGAAGTGAGGGAGTAGTAGGAGTGATGAAAGGGTTAAATGGGCCGGTGGGTGGTGGGGTGTGTGGGGGCGGTGGTGAAAGTAGTCTGTCTCGCAGTCCCTGAACCATATTATTTTCTCCCCCACTCTGCCCTTTCTGTAATGCAAAAGTGAGTGAGTACAGTTTTACGCCGCTTTTAGCAATATTCCAGCAAATCATGGCAGTGGACACCAGAAATGGGTTTCACACATTGTACCTATGTGGGAAATGGAACCAGGGCCTTTGGCGTGACAAGCTAACACTTTAACCATTAGGCTATCCCATCACCCTCTGTTATGCAAAAGCTCTACATGAAGCAAGTCTAGATTTTTATCAGGTTCGGAATCTCCCATCTCACTAGGGCTACTTTTCAATTTAAAAGGAGTTATTGGTTTCTACCAAAATTATATATTTTCAGAGACTAAGCATTATTCTTTTGGTGAAAGAGGAAGGGTGAAGGGAGAAGGTGTGGGTGTGATTTGGGGGATGAGCTGCTGGTGGGATGAGGAGAGATGGGATGAAGGAGGGGAGACAAGGGCTGAAGAGAGAGGATAGAAGGGGTTAAGGCAGGGGGTGGAGGGAGGGGAGACAAGGGCTGAAGAGAGAGAGAAGGGGTTAACTGAGGGGGTGGAGGGAGGGGGGACAAGGGCTGAAGAGAGAGGATAGAAGGGGTTAATTGAGTGGATGGAGGGAGGGGAGACAAGGGGTGAAGAGAGAGGATAGAAGGGGAGGGAGGGGAGACAAGGGCTGAAGAGAGAGGATAGAAGGGGTTAACTGAGGGGGTGGAGGGAGGGGAGACAAGGGCTGAAGAAAGAGGATAGAAGGGGTTAACTGAGGGGGTGGAGGGAGGGGAGACAAGGGCTGAAGAGAGAGGATAGAAGGGGTTAAGGTAGGGGGTGGAGGGAGAGGAGACAAGGGCTGAAGAAAGAGGATAGAAGGGGTTAACTGAGGGGGTGGAGGGAGGGGAGACAAGGGCTGAAGAGAGAGGATAGAAGGGGTTAATTGAGGGGGTGGAGGGAGGGGAGACAAGGGCTGAAGAAAGAGGATAGAAGGGGTTAACTGAGGGGGTGGAGGGAAGGGAGACAAGGGCTGAAGAGAGAGGATAGAAGGGGTTAACTGAGGGGTGGAGGGAGGGGAGACAAGGGCTGAAGAGAGAGGATAGAAGGGGTTAACTGAGTGGGTGGAGGGAGGGGAGACAAGGGGTGAAGAGAGAGGATAGAAGGGGTGAAGGGTGTGGGTGGAGGGAGGGGAGACAAGGGCTGAAGAGAGAGGATAGAAGGGGTTAACTGAGGGGGTGGAGGGAGGGGAGACGGGCTGAAGAAAGAGGATAGAAGGGGTTAACTGAGGGGGTGGAGGGAGGGGAGACAAGGGCTGAAGAAAGAGGATAGAAGGGGTTAACTGAGGGGGTGGAGGGAGGGGAGACAAGGGCTGAAGAGAGAGGATAGAAGGGGTTAAGGTAGGGGGTGGAGGGAGAGGAGACAAGGGCTGAAGAAAGAGGATAGAAGGGGTTAACTGAGGGGGTGGAGGGAGGGGAGACAAGGGCTGAAGAGAGAGGATAGAAGGGGTTAACTGAGGGGTGGAGGGAGGGGAGACAAGGGCTGAAGAAGGAGGATAGAAGGGGTGAAGGCGGTGGGTGGAGGGAGGGGAGACAAGGGCTGAAGAAAGAGGATAGAAGGGGTTAACTGAGGGGGTGGAGGGAAGGGAGACAAGGGCTGAAGAGAGAGGATAGAAGGGGTTAACTGAGGGGGTGGAGGGAGGGGAGACAAGGGCTGAAGAGAGAGGATAGAAGGGGTTAAGGTAGGGGGTGGAGGGAGGGGAGACAAGGGGTGAAGAGAGAGGATAGAAGGGGTGAAGGGTGTGGGTGGAGGGAGGGGAGACAAGGGCTGAAGAGAGAGGATAGAAGGGGTTAACTGAGGGGGTGGAGGGAGGGGAGACAGGGGCTGAAGAGAGAGGATAGAAGGGGTTAACTGAGGGGGTGGAGGGATGGGAGACAAGAGCTGCAGAGAGAGGATAGAAGGGGTTAAGGGTGGGGGTGGAGGGAGGGGAGACAAGGGCTGAAGAGAAAGGATAGAAGGGGTTAAGGGTGGGGGTGGAGGGAGGGGGGATGTAGGGGTTACAGAGGACACACATGAAGTACCGGAAGATGAACCTTGCTTGCTGGCTATTCCTGTCATGAGAACATATGTTTCTGCTATGAAACTCCAGACTATTACATCTCTATAGTAAAGCAATCAGTTTTCCCCGAACATCAGTAGGTACGAAAATTGGAATCAATTGACATAAATGTCAGTGCAAAGCAAGTTATGAACAACTTGATCTATCTTGAAAGCACAGCAAGTGCACAAATGCTGCATTTATGACTCATAAAAACATACCAATATTCCTTCTTACACCACTACAAACTGATTTATCACTTAAGTCCTAATTATAACAGAAAGAAATATGCAAATAATCTCCACAATTTGTTGCATAATCATATGATCAATGCTGAGAAAACAAAAATATGTGCATCAGGAATAACTGCACTCCGTCTCATCCGAGATCTTGGAACGTGCAGCAGCTTTGGAGTGTGTTCTGATGTATCTAACGCATCTGGATAAACTGGTGATGTTATTGCACATGGATGAGTGGAATAGTCTAAAACTGCCAATGATAGTAGCCCTGCTTATGTTCCGAGGAGGAAAGGAACTGTCTGTGCCATGTTATACCCAACTACGACCCCCATCTGTTCGTGATCAGAACATGAGCAGCATGTCACAACACTGCCCCCCCCAGGCCAGCCATATTTGTAAGGGATAGACACATATAGTACTGTATTTTCTTGTGTATAGTGCACACTTTTTTTTCAGAAAATGAAACCGTGCAGAGGGGGGTGCGCATTATACACGCCAACATAAGATTTCAGGTATTTTTCCCCCCCATGGGTAAACAAAACATTCAACATGTATACCAGAAATCAAGTGTCAACAAACGGAATAAACTACCGATACATTCGTCTGTACCATTTTTGAATTTATATGAACATTATTAGAATAAATGAACACTGGATACTATTATATGAAGTATTACATATGTATATTTACTTATATTTACTTATATCGTTTTAACATAGGTCATTCAAGCAGGAGGAAAGGAACTGTCTGTGCCATGTTATACCCAACTACAACCCCCCATCTGTTCGCGATCAGAACAGGAGCAGCATGTCACAACACTGCCCCCCCAGGCCAGCAATATTTGTAAGGGATGGACACATATCGTATATTTGCTGGCTAAAGTGCTTGTTATACTGGGGATCAATAATTGGAGCTCTCAGATCAATCATTCATAGATTCTTAGATCATTATTATTTCATTTTCCTCATGAAATAATCATATTAATATATAACAAAAATGCCAGAGAAGACTCAGTCTTGATTATCTGCCCAAACAGATTCCATTGTGGAGAGAAGGCAAAATAGTTACAAAAATTATATGAATGGATCACTGAAAATCTGTTATGAAACCAGGTGTTCTTGAAAAGGGTAAGCATGTCCTGGTAGCACCCGTAGTTCACACAACTCACATAAAAAAAAGTATGTATTTGTGTGTTGTCCTACACAAAATCAGTTATGAAACCAGGTGTTCTTGAAAAGGGTAAGCATGTCCTGTAGCACCCGTAGTTCACACAACTTGCATAAAAGAGTAAATGTTTGTGTGTTGTCCTATTCCACTAAACTGAGATGGTTATTAGTTCACTCTAAGCCACTTAATATTGACATCAGGAAGCTTGGATAATATGCATTAGATAATATGAGTGATATTATTATCTTTTTTACCCTACCTAAACCTTATTTTCAAATCCATACATATTTTTTTCCATATCCATTCCAGCATATCATGATTAATTTGCTTTCCCATGTTTCTGTCCATTTCACTGTCTATATCGACCAATTCCACCACCATCATGGTTCTACATCATGTTCTAAACCTAAACAGTCCCATCAACAAATCAATTGCTTAAGGCAGCATGGCTGAACATTTGTCAGAGTAGAGTTGGAAACAACTTTAATAATTAATGATTGATCATTACAATGAGAACTGCGATCAACTAAGTATATTTTATAGTTATTAAAATTCTTGCTACTCTATGAGCTCGTCTCTAACAAACCATTGTGACAAAGAAAATGTCTTCAGATAATCTACCAAGCCTCCAGAGGAAGTCAATCCCGATGTTTGCATACATGCACATAATGGCTCTATAAATTACAAATAAGGCCCAAATAAATTAATTATAAGATTTCAACCACACCTGCCTCACTGCCAAACACCCTATCTGCACAGAGTATTTTATTGAATCCAAGTACCTACAGATCCTACCAAACATGCATGCTTCAAGTGAATTACATCCATTGACAATTAATATTCACATTTGCTTGAACAGATTGAAAATATTATCATGCTCATGTCTGATATTTTTCGTCAAAAATGTGGATGAAATGTAATAATTATTTTATTTTATTGTGTCCTATAGGAGGAATGTGAATCTTTAACAGTTATCACTGTATTGGAAAGGACACTAGAAAAATTGCAAGCCATTCTATCTGTAATATCTTAACTAGAGCTAACTTTTTACATTTGTTTGACTACATGGTCATTTGTTTGACAACATGGTCATTTATTTGACTACAAGGCTAAGACACAAAACCATAGATATCATGCTAATCTTGAGACAATACTTTGCAACTTCCCGCATGTCTTCAAGAACATTATTATCGTCATCATCAAGTATTGTGTACAAGAATAACTATCCATCCAAGCCTGTTATTGCTCACCTTCATTGTGTCTATCATTGATCCTGATCTCTGGAACAACAACCAGCTTGCTACCTTTCAAACGTTCCTCAAATTCAAAGTCTTCTTTCATTAACATCTTCTCCAGTCTTTCTGCTTCCAATCGCAGTTTCTCTATCCTCTGTCGTCTCATCTCTGACTCCCTTGCCAGACGATGTACCTCCCTCAGACGGACCACTCTCTCCAGCAGCCATCCTTCCTCCTTCTCCAGCTTCTCCACACTCACAGAAGGTCCCTCCTTCCTCTTCCCTGTCCTTGGACCTTCCCGTCCTGTGCTGAGACCTTGATGTCCTGCCACTGGATCTTCATCAGCCACTGCAGCAGGAACTGTCAGAGCTTTCCTTCCCTGTGGAACCCTACAAGGGTAAGAGAGTAGGGATGTGTTCCATGGTTTCTTATACTCCATGCCCGTAACTGGTTTGAGGATCCTTGACTGTCTGTTAGTACTTCTTATGATGACCATTGATGGACCGATGGCGTCCTGTTTTGGGCATTGGCAGTCACAGGAACAGCACCATTGAACCGATACTCCTACATCTTTCGTTCCTGTAAGATTCTGATCATCTTTTTCAACCTCACTTTCCTTCTGAGAACTGGCTGCAGTTTTCTTTGGCCTTGGTATATGAGACTGATAGGATCTCAAAGAGGTAACCCATGGCTTAACTTCTAACCCTCTCTGGGAAGATTTGGTTGCATGAGGCTTTTTGATTATCTTTCCTTCTAAAACTTTCTCTTCGCCTTGTTCAGTTTGTCTTTTCTTTTGAAAACTGAATGCTGTCTTCTGAGGTCTTTGTGGTTGTGATGGATATGGTCTTGAGGAGATAATCCATGGCTTAACCTCTAAATCTGTCTTGGAACTTCTGAAAGTAGGCTGAGGCTTAATGTTGATTTTTCCTGAAGAAATATTCGGATCAATCTGTTGTTTTTGCTTATAAATGGTTGTATGTTTCTGAGGTCTTGGAATATGAGATGAATAGGATCTTAAGGAAGTTATCCATGGCTTAACTTCTACCCCTTTTCCAGAATATTTCATAGTATGCTTCAGCTGCCTAGACTTCTTTCTGATTTTATCTTCTTTTGAAATGTCATTTGGCTTTGGGCATTGACAGTCACAACGACAACACCACTTGACAGACACAGCTTTATCCATCATCCCTTTCCTCCCGTCCTGGCTTGAAAATGCTGATATCAGTGTTCTCCCTGGTTTCAGCAGAGCAGGTCTGGTTGCCTGTTTATCATGACATCGTGTAGAGCAGTTCCAAGGTTTCTGGGTTTCTGTTGTCTTCTTAGAAGGTTTTGATCTTTCTTGCAGTTTTCTGTCATTTCCTCTTGTCCTGGGTGTAGTTGAGGTACCAGGGCACTGGCAGTCACAAGAACAGCACCAGTTAACAGACACTGCCTTGTCTTCATGACCATCTTTTCTTAAATCTTCACAATCTGCTACAGAAGACGTTACATCCTTTCTTGTTGAAAGATAGAGAGATCTTTTTGGTCGAGGGATTTGAGAAGAATGTGATCGTAAAGAATTACTCCACTTATGAGGATGATCCACAACTTGCCCTGAAGACCCAACTGTCAACTGCTGTCTCATCTTTTGTTTCCTGACTGGAAGAATTCCTGAGGACCTTGCAACTTGCTTGTCCAATAAAGAACACCCTACATGCACTCCTTCATAATCCCTCTTACCTTTAATGACAGGTGTGTTTCTCACAGGTAAATCTTTACAACCTGCTACAGGAGGCTTTACATCCAATCTTGTAACATGACTGAGAGACCTTTTTGGTCGAGGTAAATGAGAAGAATATGATCGTAAAGAGTGACTCCACTGATAGGGATGATCCACAACTGTCTGTTGGTGTCTGCTCTTATGTTTCTTTCCTGGAAGAATCCCAGAGAATCTTGCAACTTGTTTGTCAAATAACGAATATGTTACAGGCACTCCTTCATATTCTTTCCTACCTTTAACCAGAGGTATTATTGGTTGTGGGATCTTGGAGGGGTAATATCGTAAGGAACTTCTCCATGGTTTGTCAGTTTCAGGAACCCTCTCAGAAGTCCTGACAGTCAGCCTATGTCTCTTCATATCTACCTTTATCGAAGATGATGCTTTGGAGCATGTTGGTTCTTGTTTGTTAGCTGTGGAAAGCATGTATACCTGTCTACATCCACTCCTCCCTCTCACCGGATCTTTCTTGGATGCCACACCACTTTCTGACCTTGCAAAAGTTTTCAGAGGAATAAGTGGACGCTTTTTACCAAAGCAACGTAAAGAGGTACTCCAAGGCCGGCATGTGTCCGTGATTCCTGGACTAGACCTCGAATGTATAGACCTTGCCATCTCCCTGCTTGGTTCTTGTGGTGGAACAGCTTTTGAAGTGGATCCCACTGTTTGCTGAGAACTCGAAGACCTCACAGTTCTCCTCGCATTGAAACCGTGACACTGATCTGAAATCCCAGACACTGAAGATGAAGAACATTTGTCCTTGTTTTGTTTCTTCTTCCTCCTCAGACCTTGCCACTTGGAGGTACAAGTTGCAATAATGCCCAGTTTAGCAAAGGTAGACCTCCTCCTCCTTATGACCTGACTGGGGGAGCACTGGGTGGAGCTGTTCCATGGTTTCCGTGCCTCTAGGGATGCTCTGGAACAGCCACTGAACTTTATCCTCTTACCGGATCCAACTGCTCGTCTTTTGGCAGTGCTTTTCTTTGCTGGGAGCTGTTCAGTGGCCATGTTTGTGAACCCAAACAGGGTATAGATGATAAAACACAATATTTCCTTGATGAATAGCATAAAAAAGCCTTGAATACACCAGCGTGAAACAAGTTTCAATACTTCATGAACAATGAAGTATGCTTAAGTTTTAAAGAAGCAGAAAGCTGAAATGATGTGGATGAAACATCAAGACCACCGTCTTGTCAAGAAGCTTTCTGCTGAATGCAGATGCAGCACATATTCTGCTCCTACCTGGAGCATCATCCAATCAGATCATGCCAACACATCTAGGTATGACGAAAACTGTTTAATTTACATACTTACTTTTGTTCGTGATTAATTCATTACCCACAACCAATGAACCTTCCAGCTGTTTCGGAAAGGAGTTTGGGGACTCAAATATAGTCCACATCCACATCTTATTGGGTTGGATCACGTACATTTCATATCCTAATGATGACCTCCATGACCTATGGTGCTGGCCAGATGATGTCTGCTCGACAATAGTAGGCTTAGCAATCATTTTAATTGTCATGAAGAACATCCCTATTTGCTTAATGGTCTCCGTGGCTCCTGAGTGGCAATCTAGGTTATTAAATTAGTGGTTTGCACCTGACAATGTTCTCTAACTGGCGTGTGGAACCTGCCTAAGATTATTCACTTGGGTTTCTGACATAGCCACAATAGGAGGGGGTTTGGCTTGCTTCATCAAGCCTAATGAAATACTGCTAATTACAGCAATATTCATTTCATGCGACTGTCACTCCTGTTTTTGAATAATTAATTTCATGTGCTGTTTGCTGAAGGTGTCAATGTAACTGATGCATCAATATGAACATTTATCAATTCCATTTGTCCAATTGAAGATGAACAAGACAAAAAGGGGGACATGTTTCAATACAAGTTCAATACATGAAAACAGCAATATTTCTCAGAAAATATGCTTTTCGAAATCAAACTTGTCACTAGTTGCCAAACTATTTGCAATCAGTACATATTTCAGTCATATCACAGCTGTAAGAGGAAAGCCTGAAGCGGTACAATTAAAATGTTTTCCACTTTGGTGAAACCCATGAGCATGTGTATGGCGCTGACAAACCTAGAAATTCAGAGCAACACACACAGTAAATTGTGGTGCTTTATAAGACTGGATCACCATGGCAGCTGTAGCTGAAATGAAATGTAATTGCTTGGTTGCTGCAATCTCAAGTTCCTTCTTTGTCCTTTTTATTGTGATCTGCATTTACTTAATTGTTACAAAATAAGCCAATAAGTCCATTAAACCATTAATTTCCAATGGCCAATGAACCACAATGTCAAATTTGAATCAATGCATTGATTAACAGCTGATGACAAATGCCATTTTGCTTTTTGCATATCGCTATTCAACCACACATAAGAGTATTTACAACATCCGGTATCTCTACTTCAAGTTTAACATATGTGATTGAATCCCATCCAACACATAGAACACTGCCTTGTGAATAGCATTCTGTTACACATACATCACTGCAGATCAGACTAGTACAGTATTCTCAATCATGTCATATAACTTTTTGTCTTCACGTACACCTTTCAGTTTTTTACATATATACCTTTCTGTCTTCACATATACCTTTCAATTTTTTACATATATACCTTTCTGTCTACATGTATACCTTTCAGTTTTTACATATATAACTCTCTGTCTTCACATATACCTTTCAGTTTTTTACATATATAACTTTCTGTCTTCACATATACCTTTCAGTTTTTTATATATATCACTTTCTGTCTTCACATATATACCTTTTAATTTTTACATATATACCTTTCTGTCTACACGTATACCTTTCAGTTTTTTACATATATAACTTTCTGTCTTCACATATACCTTTCAGTTTTTTACATATATACCTTTCTGTCTTCACATATACCTTTCAGTTTTTTACATATATAACTTTCTGTCTTCACATATACCTTTCAGTTTTTTAAAATATATACCTTTCTGTCTGGGATTACTACAGCCTTGTCAATTGGTCAATCAGGGGACTAAACCAAATGTATCTTCCAACAAAGGTGTTTCCAGCTAGTTTGATCACTTCAGTTCAGTAAACACAATTTACAAAGAGGCTATCATATGAGCGAGATGTTTTCCCTGTAAATGATGATGTGTAAAGGCAGCAGCTACAATATAGCATCAATGAGGCAGATGTTGTGTGAGGATACATGTAGTTGATGAGCTGATAAGTTGCGATGAGCGGACATCTGCCACTGGAGTGCATCCCTTTCCAGTTAATTTGCCTATAACACATGACTCAGGGGACCAAGGAACTGTTCTACTTATGCAATTTTTCTACTTACAGGATTCTAGTTATCCAGTTTCATGACAAAGGACACAGTTGGGACCTAACAAAAGTACCTACTTATCCATTTTTTACTACTTTTCCAATTTTTCTACATACCCAGTTTCAGCTTAACGAGATTTGACGGTACCTTTCACTGTTCACGTGTACAACTGACCTGCTATATTCCTTTCTGTCCAAACAGTGTTGCCATCATGTATTGAATCTTGGGAATCCATCATTCAATGGAAAGAAAAAGAAGAAAACAAAGGGGGGGGGGGGGGCATGGCTGGCCCAGTCGTCTAAGTCACCACAATTGGCTGTGCAGAGTTGTATCTTTTGGGCATGCCAGAACCCTTTAATTGTGGGTTCGAATCCCGGTTCAACCCGATTATGTTTCTAGGTTTGGCAGCACCATACCCGTGCTCATGGGTTTCACTGAAGTGGTAAAGGTCTGAGACCTGCATCACTTCGGAATTTCCTCCCACATTAAGCTGACACGCCGTGATATAACTGGAATACAGTTAAAAGCGGAGTTAAACCTAACTCACTCACTGGAAAAATGATAAGTCAAATTGTTCCTTAATACTGAGGCAACAGAACACATGAAGGTTTCTGAGTATAACCATTTCCATTGAGCATGTACAGACAGACACATTTTGCCCAGAGCTAAGTTTTCAATCCACGTTTCAACATCAAAGATGGTAGACATACAGTGGAATTTACTAAACATGGCAAGTTTCTTGTCAACACAACGCGTGATGCTGTGACCTCCCAAGGAGTTTTCACACCTTCTAACTCACTAGTACCAACTTTAGTGGATCGGGTGGTCATGCATGGCGACTTGGTTGACCGAGTGTCGTGTTGTACCCCAACGAAGTGGATCACTGATCATTATTCTGATCACTGGATTGTCAGATCCCAACTTGATTGCTTACAGGCCGCTATTGCATAGCAAAGGTTTTGCTGGGTGTGGCATTAGACAACAAACAAACACTTATGTTTTGTGCAAATTGTTTTGTGTGGCCATGCTACTACCATGAAAACAGGACATGCTGATTTTCAGTGATCCATTCATATAATTATTGTCACAATTTTGTTTTTTAAGGGCAATGGAATCTGTTTCGGCACATAATTGAGACTGATTACACTCTGGCACTGACCTTTAAAAACATCAGGCATGCATGATTCTGAAACCATTTTGAATACTGACTGAGCACACATGACAGCATCCATATGTATATACACTTGAAACACCTTCGTGAATGCCTGCCACCATCACAAGCAACATCTCTATTACATTATACAGAAGAGTTGCTGACAGTTCAGGGTCATCTACAGTTAATGGATGTAAATTTTCTCTTTTATAAGCAGAAGCACCAATGTTTACCATAAATTTCTACAACTTTCTTATCTTGAGCTCTTGTATCCTAACAATTTGCTATATATCTTCAAGTCAGTTGGTGGGAACATATTATGTCATGTTACATAATATGATCCATGTTTACATAACACAATATGATTATGTTATTCCATTGTCTAAAGCCTTTCCTTTGTCATAACACAACACTGTCGGCCTTAACACAACATGATAAATCAGTCAGCTTGGAGCCTTCATGTGGGCCTTGTTATTCAATATGGCTGCCATAACACAACTGCTTCCAACCGTGTGAGGCACACCATGACTTGTACAGCCAATTCCTCATGTCTTACATGGTTTCACAAAAGAACTTTTTTTTCATTATTCGTCATAATTTTATGACAGTATGCACTCGGTTCTCTGAACAACAGACAGGAAGCTACTGATATAGGCATGACAGGACCTGATTTATACCTAGATGAGACAAATATAGAAACAATAGATATCTAGACAGTATGCACTGTAAGACACAGAACCCCTGCCAGTTCTCTGAACAGCAGACAGGAAGCTGTTGATACTTGCATGACAAGACCTGATTTATACCTAGACAAGACAGATATAGACACAATGCATACCTTTAACAGTAGAGGCCAAGGGGTTTAACATGAAGTCATTTCCAATTATTCATGAGTCAATGACCAATACCACTAATAGTCTAAGTAATAGTACAATAAATAAAACATAAATTAGGGTGGAATCTTGGGGTCATTTACGGTGTCTGTTTCTGGCTCTTCCCAATACTTGATACAGCACTCAAGCATGGACAGAGGTGAGGTGAAATTGGGTTTAACGTTGTGTCCAAGATTATTGTACTTATAGCGACGTGCATGCACGTGTGTGTGAGGCTGCTTTAACTAGTCCGGACTGATGCCGATTTATAGTGCTAGCTCACGGAGATACCATGCCGCAGTTTGACATAGATACCCCACTCAGACACAGTATACTGACTCCAAGCCGACAAGTCCTTGTTTTAGCCCCTTAATGCCGATCGCCAGATAGGGTAACAACAAGTACCATTTTTTAAAGTCTTTTGGTATGACTAGCCGGGGATCGAACTCCAGAAATTCTGCTCTCCGGGCGGACGCTCTACCACAAGGCAACGGAGGCAGTCGGATAGAGCATTTTAAGACAAGGTGCACTGAAAACAATACGCTAGATGAATGCAAATAATTTGCATAACTATTTGCAATTGATAGTCGTGTTATTTCTATCAAACAAAACATATCACAAAATCATTTGGTGATATGTTTTGTTTGTAGATTAACGTTTTGATGATTCCAAAAAGAGCATTCCATGTC